GTAGAACTACACGAATATTTTAATTTTTGTGGGAGTTTTTTTTGAATTATACTGTTACACTCTTCAGTTAATGTCATAGTTACAAAATCTGGGAATCTATATTTTTTAATTAAAAATTCTTTTATAAATTTCATGTAACCTGAAATTTGTTCAGGAGTTTCTACAAATAGAACGTTAATAGTGAGCTTCTAGAATTATCTAGGGATTGAGCAATTTGTTGATCTAATTTTTATTTTTATAATATTTTGGAGAAAAGTGATTGTCTTTTCATAATTTTTTAATAGTTAGGTCTTCTTTCTCAACAATTTTTCAGTATCATGTTCTTTTAATCTAGTTATCTCAATGTTCACCTCTTCTAACTATCCACTCTTAAATTTTGCGGTTTTGCATTGTTCTGCACCTTGGTTTTTAGGAGTCATTTCAGTGTTGTTTGCTAGCGTCTCTTGAGATATATGACTCACTGAGTTAGCTAAATTCGCTAATTATTTTATAATATTTCTAATGACTACAACATGACTCTGTATCTTATTTTTCATTTGCAACACTACTTCTAATGATAATTTCTTTTTGTTAAATTGATTATTTGAAGTGAATCCATGTGGATAAGTCGATCTCAGGTTAAGATTATTTTTCTTATTATTCCAGTTGCCTAAAGAGTTCTGTTGGTTACTACCTCATTGTTGATTTTTTACATTTTGGTTATTGTTTCAAATAAAATTTTGGTGAATCCTCCTACTAGGATTATAGGTGTTTGAATATGTGTTATTAGATCTATTATTTATAGCATTCAATGACTTCAGAATTGCAACACTAGGATCCAATAATTTTCCATAAACATTCTCCTCGATTGCTAGTGATTCTGGTGCAAAATTCAAGCCTAATTTATCTAACTTCAAATTATCTAACTTCTTAGATGTTGTTGTTACCTGCGAAGTTAGAATGGATAACACATCTTGCGCATGTATATTGACCTCTTTTTAGGTTTGACTCTCTCTGAAGGCCATTGAAAATTATTAATGATCATTTACTCAATAAATGTATAAGCCTCCTAAAATAGTTTTGACATTAACGACCCTCCTCCTACAGCATTTAACCTCCACAATTCCACTAACCCGTCGTAAACGTTTGTAAAATTAGTCAATCAGGTAGTACATGATTTAGATATTTCCTAAGAAGTTCCTTACATCTCTCTCAAATTTCATATATTGACTCATTATCCATCTGGGTTAAATAGACAATATTATTTCTAAGCTCAACATTTTTAGATTGTGAGAAATATTTTACTAGAAATTTTTATGTTAAGTCATTCAAGTGGTGATAGACTCTGTTGCTAAGACGTCAAGCCACATCTTAGAATTATGTCTAAGGGAAAATGAAAACAATATATGTTTAACTACATTGTTTGAGATACCATTATATCTAAATGACGCACATTATTTTAAGAAACTGGCTAAATGTAAATATGGGTCTTCTATTGGCGAACCTTCAAATTGATTATTTTGGATCATCTGAATAATAACAGGGTTCAGTTTAAAGGTATTGGTTTCAATGTTATTGTTATTAATAATAAGATGAATTTCATATATTGATAGATTAATAAAATCACTAAGTGGTCTAGGCTGGTCATTTTCTTCACGGTATTTTGCCATTGCTCTGAAAGGTTTTCTGAATTTTGTAAGTTTTCAATGTTTTTTTAGCACTTTTTTCCATTTCAAGGTTAAACGATACTAGTTTAGCAAGTTTAGTTCTACGTATATAACCTGGGACTAATTAGTGAGCTTAAACTAACAAGTTATGAAAATTTACAAAACAAAAGTATAAAAAATCACAATTAAACAAATAAGTGCAAAAAGAACTAAAACACAATTCAAAATATTCTCGGGCTTTTTTAATTTTAATTAGCAATACACGGAAATATAAACACACAAAAAATGCAAAACAAAGGTGAAGGCACTATTGTTTTCAAATCTAAACCTCAAGATTTCAATGAATATTCTTCTAATTTGAAACATTAACGTCATTTACCAACAACAAAGCCAAAAACTTGATTCATGGTGCGATAAAGCACATACATTAATTATACAAGTATACATATTGATTAAGTAGTATTCAGATTATGAGTTTGTGTATTGATAGAACAAGCAACGAACCAATTCTCAAATAAGTTGAAATACTAGTTTACTAATCCTAGGTTTAGTTCACAATGATGAAAGTTTTTGAGGTTTTTGAAAGTGTCTAAAATCTTAATTTCAAAAGAATAGATTAATGCTAAGTAAGATAAGTTTTGTACCAGGTTTGAAATGACTTCCTTGAATTGGTTCAATAAATCCTAAATTCCTCCAAGTGATTTTTCTACTATGGTTGTCAAACGGGACCTACATGGATTTATCTAGTTTTCAAAGAATTTCAACCCAAGAGAGTGAAAGAGTCCAAATGCTATGCATGATTTTGAAAGAAAATAGATTTTGCATTAAAAAAAAATCAAACCAAGATACAAAATAATTGAATAAAAACTATTTGTTGATGTATCCCTTGTCTCAAGTCTTGTTCACCACCCAATATTTCTTCCTCGATTAATTAAAATGTGCTCTTACGCTCACCAAATTAAAAGAAAAATACTCTCACACTACAACAAGTGATCTACCGAATTCATCCTTCAAGTTTCTTTTCCTCTTCCATAGAGACTCCTCCCGGGTGTAAATGATGCGAAAGATAGCGATGGATCAGTCCTTGCCTCTTTTTTATGTCATTCAAATCAGTCCCAACCGTCACCAGAATGCGGAAATTGTCTAAATTCGTTAAGGACCGTTGGCTAGGCGTCGTCGAGGGTACTGGTTATGGGTGCAACAGTGTTGAGATCGAGTGATGCGTTTCGTGATCTGATTTGTCAAATTAGGGCACATGTGCCGTGGTGCTAGCACCTAGGGCGCGACAACTTTATGTGTGTGTGTGTTAGTGAAAACAAGTTTTTATTTTTTTTTTTATTTTGTATGTCAATGATATTTTACTTACAACTAATAATTTTGGTTAATTATACGAGACTCAGAAATTTCCTTCGAAGAACTTTGAAATGAAAGATATGGGTGAGACATTATATGTGATAGGGATTGAAATATTTTATGATAGATCACAACGATGTTAGGGTTGTCTCAAAAGACATTAAAAACATTTTAGTGAGATTTAAGATGAAAAAATTCTTTAATAGAATTGTTCCAATTCAAAAATGAGATAAATTAAGCCCTATGTTATTTCCAAAGAATGAATTAAAACACAAACAAGTAGAAGAAATTTTTTATGCATTATTGCCTTATGCTGGGAGCTTGATGTATGCTTAAATTTGTATCCGGCCAAACATTAATTTTATTGTTGGTATGCTTAGACATGCAAGTAATTCAGAAATTAATCATTGGACAGCTGCGAAGAAGTTTCAAGTTATTTACAATGAAAAAAAATACATGCTTACTTATAGGAGATCTAATTTTCTTGTGCTGATAAGATATTAAGATTTAAATTCTATTAGGTGAATTGCTATTAGAAAATTCATATTCGGCTATTTGTTCCATTTATAGCTGGACGGGCATTTTCTTTGAAGATTGTGAAGTGGCACGTCATTAATGCATACACTATGAAAACAATTTATGGCATGCTTTGAGGCCACTATTTATGAACTATGACCGAGAAATTTTATTTCATGAATTAGAGTAGTCGATGGTATTGTCAAGCCATTTAAAATTTATTATGATAATGTTACATTCGTTTTTTTTAAGAATGATAAATATTCAAAGGGCGATAAACATTTGAAATTGAAATTCTTCGTTGTCATTGAAAAAAATTAGAAACAAAGAATGTCATTTGAGCATTTTAGGCCCAATTTATAGTTGCGGATTTGGTAACCAATGATTGTCAAGAAAGACATTTAATGAATATTTCAGAAGAATGAGCATCACTAAAAATTTTTATGGATTTTATTTTTTATTTTATAGTCTTCATATATTTAATTCTCTGAGCTCTTTTAGTATTTTTTATGATATATTGATGCATCCTTTTTTATCAATGTTAACGGAATTTATCTTTAACAGAGATAATATAGTTAGAACATTATAATTATATCTCATTATAGATTATGTTAGGTATGAAAATAACATTGTGATACATAGAAGGGAGTGTCGCATAAATGATTATACCATCATGATACCAATTAGTTTTTGCTTAGTGAACTTATGATTTGATCAAACTATTGAAATATTTGTTTCGTCACATTATGTTTATTATTATTAAATTATTAAGTTGAATAATATCACATGGGTCAAATGGGAGAATGTTAGAAATAATGCATAAGTTATTAATTATAACTTTATAAAATTATTACTAATAATAATGTTATAAAGTTATAAAAAATGTTTTAACATTACTTTTTTAATGGCCCATGTATTATTTATTAATATTTTATTATTCATAATTGATGACGAGTCCATGTTTTATTGGTCAAATATTGAGTTGTTTTCTCAAATGTTTATGTGCTGTTCAATCAAATAACAACCAGGTTATTAGCGGTCCTCTCTCTACTCATTAAGAATTGTCTTTATTAAGAAAATTAACAAGCGAAAAGAATTGGGATAAGTTTTTCACAAAGGCTCACAAAAGATCATCATAAATCAATACACATTTTCTCCCGTTTAAAGTTTTGGGTTTTGTGTTTATGCAAATAATTTGAAGTTGCATAATCATAAATTTTTTCATGAATACAAAAATTTTCTTATAATATATTGTCTTCTTTAGGTGAATTGGTGCTCTCTTGTCCCACTCATAACTATTAGTCTTACTATTATTATTACTATTTTTAAATGTCATTGCGAAATTTGTGTCTTAAATATGTGATCCGGTTGAACAACTGGCCACATGTCCTTTAACCACTGTCAATGTTTTCATTCATGCCTTTATTTCTAATATTACTGGGTAACATATTTCAGTTTTCTTACTCCCCATGACTTTATTTGCAGCTGGTGAATTGTCAGTTGTACATGCTCTCCTTGCTGAACTACCTGGACAGTTTATGGCCTTTATGCAGTCCAGAGATATTAAACCATTGCACTGATATAACTCAATTTTTTTCCTTTTTCGTTTTAATAATTACTTCTATTTTCTTCCTCCATTCATCAAGATACAAAAACTGCCGTAGTTTATGGTTGGGCAGATGCAGTAGCCTAGTTTTATTGCAAAGGAATGTTTGTGCCTGTGGAATGCTTTTGTTAAACATTTACCCATTAAATGTGAATAGTTCAGCTTGTTTTTGTTTTCCATGCAATATGTAACTAGATTTGTGTGGTTTGCTGGTTTATGGATTTGATTTTGAACAATCAATTTTGCTTTAAGGGCAGAGGTTAATGAGAGGAGTGGTATTAGTATTCAAATGCTATATCCAGGATTTGCTTTAAAATCATTCTGATATTTTCAAAAATTTAGAAGTATTTGAAGATTAGTTTCATTTTTTTATTTTTCGGCATTTTTTTTTTCTTAGAGAATTAAAGATTATTTTTAGGGCTTAGCCAAATTTTAATTTTTTGGTGAATTCTGGTTTGCGTACTTTCTATGTACCATAGAGCTGGCGAATGATTCACTGTGAATCCCAATAGATCATGAGGACCCTTATACAAATTTGTCAGGCTACCAGGAGACCGGCAATGAGTGTTTTGTACTCAGCTTCATTTCCTAACTAATTTTTTTTTTAATTTAAATTCATCTTGTTTCTATACATAAAAAGATTGAATGAGAATTTTTTTACTTGTTCATGTTCTTTAATTTGCAGGATTAATTTGAAATTCCCATTTTGGATAAAGCTTCTCTATGTCATTCACATATTTCAAGACAATTTGAAGGTAACACTTTGGGAAACCCCAGATTGAGAAAAGCCTTTAATTGACATAAAGGAAAATCCTCATTAGGAACTCATAAGGCAGTCGTCAAAACAAATTAAAAGCCTGACCTCTTTATCCTCCTGCATCTTGTTTGAAGCTAAGTAATATTAGGAAAAAGTATTTCTTAGGATGTTTGTTCAAATATCATCTTAGGTTATCATGCCTTTTGAATTTTGGTTGCATATATTAACTGTCATTCTAAACGAGATATCGCAGTCATTAGAATCATCACCAATCACATGGATATCATAAATCATCTACAAATTATATCAATATTCAATATTGGTGCTTATGTTCATCATTAATATTACTATGATGTTATAATGGTTTAGATTCAAAAGGATATTACATTATTTAGGAGCCTGAATATAAGAACATGTTAGAACTACTGTTGAGATTGACACATCTTGTTATTAATATTGGATGAAAAATAGTAAAGATTTAGTCTAGAATTTTTGCAAAATTCTTCCCTAAAATGAAGGGTTCTTCAGTCGGTTCTAGCATAATCATATGCTCCATTTCAAGAAATATTGGTTGAGCTTCTGAAAATCTTGTCTGGGTCAGAATTTAAAAGACTTTTGTTTACATATAGTCAAGAGATATGTATTAATCAGTTGTCAAAAGATGAGTACGAATCAGTTGTCAAGAGATTTATGAATCAAATCAGCCAAATTTGCTAAACAATTTTAAACTCCTAAGCTGCATGTCATTCTATTAAAGTAACATCTAAAACATCATAAAGCCAAGTATAAACAACTTTATTCACCAAAATCAGATTGCATCCTCCTTAATGAACAAAATTGAATACCCCATCAGAGCATAAATCAGTATTTAAAGACATCTAAAAGAGCAAAATAGAAAATTCAATAATTTCTAATTTATTTCTATAAAAAATGGCAGTTCATTATTCATCCAAAGGCCAAAGCCATATTTTCTTATAGCTAGGAATACGCAAACTGTTGTTCATTGGCCTCGCTCTTGTTTGTTGGGACCGGAAAGGTGCTTTCAAACCGAGGGAACAGAAGCTTCAGCCGGAAAGCATCAACTCCATTCAGGTAGTAACGGAACAGCCTCTTTGCCCTGATAAAACCCAGACGCCCATATAGAGCGAGAGCTCCCTTGTTTGTTACTTCTGCTTCCAGTGTCACCTGCCAACAAATAACTAAATAAATAAATACATAAAAAAGAATCATGATGGTGAGCTCAGGTGCATCGCTGCGGGAGAAAATTAAAAGACCACGCAATTCTTATGCAGATACATTTCTAGCACCTTGGTATTAAAAATCTATGCATGAAAAAGGTGTATTTCACTCATAAAAATTAATTGAAGGTATTTTTAATATGATAACAAAGATTTCGAGTGCTATAGGTGTTATATATGTAAATTTATAAGAATTGTGTGGCATGTATGTAAATGCCCCAAATATTTTTTAGTTTACTCCTCATCAAATCTGCATGGATACAGTCAATGTGGGTTTAAGTTTGTTTCACAACAACAAGCTTTTATCCCATGAAGTGGGGCGGCTAGATGAATCTTTTTTCTCCATTGTGTCCTATTGAGTGTCATATTTTAATTAATTCCGATAGGTCAAGTTTATTTATCCTTAAAAAATAGTGCTTAATAACAAAAGATTTCATTTATATGAATTGGACATCTAAGCTAGTGATTATAGCGTGGAACACACTTTATTATGCTCATATAAAATAACAATAGATTTGTGTGGAATTATATGAACATTTTCCGTTTTTCTTGTTTTTTAATGCTGGGCCGTTCGTGTCATAAGGAGGAGCAAATATTGCGTACACCGGACCTACGTACGGACCATGGTATTCGGGTGGTATTGGGGTGATATTGCACCTCAATACTATGCTAATACCATGCCAATACTATCGATCCACACCTAATTCGCACATATCTCATCCGCACGTAATATATTTCCCATAAGGAGAGAGCATGTTGTGAATCATGTTCACAACATGGATGAGACTTTTTTTTCTTGTTCTTTACTAGGATTTGGCAGGAAGCTAATGCAAAAATGTATTTGTTTGTGTCTTAAATCTATTTATCTATTAAATCTATTGGAAACAAACGCCAAATATGAAATTTTAAACTAAAATGAGAAGCATCCCCAAGTTTTCCAACTCTACTACTAATCTCTGATAACACCACCATAGCTAAGTATTGTCATAACATTGGCAGCCATAAAATCACACTATTTATTAATTTAAAGTATCGGAAATTATTTATGGATAAATTTTTCTTAGTTTCATAAAATTTTATAATTATATCAAATATACAAAAAAGAATACTAAAAAAATTGATAATAGAGCATAAGCTCAAAATAGTCCCCCAACATCAATAAATGACCAATTTAGTCAAGGAGTTTTAAAGTACTCCATACTGATACCAAACTATTGAAAATTGATCTAAATTAGTCTCCAAGTAGAATTTCATGATTAAATTTTAAAACAGCGTTAACTTACAGAGTATTCTAAGAAAAAGAAATTTAAATATTTTTTTTTTGCTAGTACACTCTATTTTCATATACAACAACAACAACAAAGCCTTAATCCCACTACATGGAGTCGGCTACATGAATCTTTTTTCTCCATTGCGTCCTATTTAGTGTCATATTTTTATTTAGTTCTAATAAATTAATATCATTTTTTATACAATAAGCCCAAATCTTTCTAGTACTACCTCTGCCTTTCTTAACATAAGTCAAATTGAACAAAAGACCCGAGATATCTAGATCATTCACACCTTTTAATAATTTGATCACCCAAAGTTACACTTCTGTCACTAGAGCTACTACTACTAAAATTACATTCCATGTATTCAATTTTATTTCTACTTAAATGAAGGCCTTAACTTAAATGAAGGCCTTTAGACTCAAATGTAGACCTCCATATTTAAGTTTTTTCTGGACTTTTTTCTCTCATCTTATCCATGAGAAGGATATCATCAGCAAAAAGCATACACCAAGGCACATCCTCCTGTAAATGTCCAGTAAGACCATCCATAACCAAAGCAAAAGGATATGGGCTTAAAGCCGATCCCTGCTCCAACAAACATAGGAAAATATTTGGTCAATACTCCTTCAGTCCGAACGCAAGTCACAGCTCTAGTATACATATCTTTAATGACTTGAATATAAGTCATATCAACACCTTTCTTCTCAAGTTAATCTTCATCCATAATTAAATCTATTTTCATATTTAATCAATTATTTAATTTTATTTAAGTTAATGTTCATTAATTTAATTGATCAGTAACTTGGGGCTCCGAACTTTTATTTTTTTATTTTAAAAGGGCTTTGAGAGTCAAATTTTCATAAGGTAGATTAGATTATAGATAGAACACTACCTAGAGATTTAGCTCTCATTTTGTGAGGACATTTAGATCCAAGACTCAAGGTTTCTCATGATAACCTATCCCCTAACAAGAGAACACTTTTGATTAAGCCCGGATATTTAATACTAAATAATCAACATATTGTAGAAGTAGACAAACGTTTTAAATTGTAAAATTTATCACATAGGAACATAAAGTGGATGGAGTTAATGATGACGAACCCGATCAAGATCTCGTGATTCAGTTGTCTTAAGTTGTTATGATCTCTGATCAACTTGGTCAAAGGAGGTAGTTGACCCAACCAGACTAAAAAATTCTTGTCAGCAACCATGAATTACATAATTCAAAAGGTTCTTTAAGATTAGGGGTGGGTGTTTGTTTATGTAGACTAATTTAAATCGACCTTACTTAATATAAGGCTTCTCATCAATCAGATGTACTTTTATGGTTCACAACTCAAGGGCAACAAACAATTGGGGAACATACGGGTTGTGACTTTAACCATAATATAAGTGTCATTTGGCAGAAACCATCCGGTCAGAGAGCTCTGATCGTAACTGTTATTTTGTGGAGTATTTGAGTCAAACCACGCAGAAAGAAGACTCGAGTCAAATCCTTACATGCATGAAATTAATTTTGAGTGTAAATATAATGGTAAATTCAATATGACATTAGCACTTTTGTGAGCAGAAGTAAATCGAAAGTGTCACCCTTAAAAAATTATTTTAGGTGGATGTGATTTACTTTAAGTTTTTCACGTGATTACTTTTCTTAAATATTTAGTTTATTACGCTGAAATTTTGATTTGAAACTCTTAATCCCGGTGCATTGGGTTTCACTTTATGTTAATTCATTGCGGGAATTTCACTATTTTATTTAATTAAGGAAGTCATGAACCACATCTAGGTGTATCCTCATGTTTATTGCTTTAACCAATTTATGAATTAAGGTCGAATGTCTACTTTCATCATTCATTTGAAAATTAAATAGATGAACTCCCACATAGGGTGTGCTCATAAAATCTAGGAAACCTACACTTTAACCTGAGCTTGAAGTGATTTAAGGTGTTTTACTCTCAATTAAGTGTTTTCCAAATAATTTTCAAATATCCTTAATTGTTTCCCAAATAATTAAATCAGAAATTCTCATTTGTGACTTAACCATTCAACAAGAGAAATAAAACAAAAAAAATGAGAAGGTTGGCCCACTTTCAAAACTAGCAAAGCCAAGGTACGAAACAACAAGTGAACCGATCTAAAAACATTTAAATTATTTAAAAATTGTAACTAAATCGGCCCCCAAGAAGAGTGTTTAGATCTACTCCAAGACAGTGTTTTGATCAGCCCAAAATTGACAACATTTAAAATTTCCAAATCAGCATGTAAATCAACGCTTAAATGATAACTAAAGCCTTCCTGAAATCAACCCCAAACAACACTTTAAAGCACTCCAAACAGCACCCTTAAGGCTCCAAAACAGGACTTTTAAAGCCACCAAACAACACTTTAAAATCCCCTAAACAACAATTTTAAAATCCCCAAACAGCTGTCATGTAAGCCTAAAACATCAATTTTAAATGTCCCAAAATTAGCTAGGAAACCTAGTCCAAAACAAGGTGTAAACTCTCCAAAATCAGTCAACAAACTGGCTCCAAAACAATACGTGAATCCGTGGGCAAAACCCTAAAAATCACAATGTTCAAACCCTCCAAACAAGTAAAACAACCCCCAAGGGAGGCATTCAGAAATAAAAGAACATAAACACGCAAAGAAGCATTCAAGCCCTGGAATGACGGTCATCTCGAGCCTCGTAGTATTCCCGTTTGAGTGCTTGAAGCACGAAATCAACAAATGAGTCGTTATGATCAGCAAGTAAATGTTCATTGGAACTTCACAATGTTTGCTTTCAGGTGCTTGAAACATAAAACCAGTAACAGAGCATTTAAAATCAGCAATAACATATAATCAAAATAGTATTTATAGTTCTCCAAAATCAGTAAGAATGTTTAGTCAAAGCAACATTTATAGTTCTCCTCCAAAGATTAATGCCAAACACATGAATATACAAGAATGGTCGATGCTTGTCCGATGAAATGCTGTAAACATTTGCTACCATTTGCATTAATATGACTATAATCATTTTTTATCTATGTTATATTTGTTCAGTCAAAGTAAATCACAAAAGGCTTCCTAAATTACAAAATTCTGAACAAAGATTTTCTAGAATGAAGAACCATATCATGTTCCAGTAGAAGAACAGATGAAATTGTTCTATGTTGGGAAAGAAGAATCGGCAGAACTAGGCTATACACTCAATGATCAATGCCAACAAATTTCTAATTGAATATATATATATATATATATATATATATATATATATATAATCAACACAAATAAAGGAAAAGGAAATTTAGTAAAACACTCTAAAAAAACATACTTGCAATCTTAGAAAGGAATTTTAGCTGCAACAGATCAGAAGATGAAGCTGCTTGGATATCTTCGGCCAATCTTATGCGACAAAGAGGGACAACGAAGCACTGTAGAGACAGCGAAGCACTTGCTCGATGGAATCAGATAAGGGAGAAGCTAAAAAACGTGAAATATGGGAGTTTCACAAGGCCTTGCACGCAGCGATTGCGTGGTCCAACTAACTCCAATCGCTAGCGGGTCGTTAGGGTTTCGATTGAGAGGTGAGGGAGCGGGTTCTAGTCGCAAAGAGGAGGAGAGCGGGGGCCTGTTGAGAGAGGAAGGGGGTTTTTGATGCGGAGAGGAGAGACGAGAGGGGCTTCGGTGC